AACTTTTGGACGACAGCCATTTTGAATTTTAACGGTAATTTTTGAAATACTTAATTATAATACAAAATGTTTTTATTGAATTAAAATATAGCAAAAACTACACAGTTGGTGAAAATTTGAGCTTATTTGCTTATGTTTAAGTATGTTTTTTTGATAAAATTCAACAAAATTGAGACTGTTTCTAAACTTTTGGACGCTACTGTAGAAACGTGGAGTTAAGAGAAGGCATTGCTCAACTTAAAGATTGTGTCTAAAGGGTCGTTCACTTGTGATGTCTGAGATTTATGATTTTGTGACAGCTCAAACAAAGGAAGAGGGGGATGGGGGGGATTGGTCAAAAAATCACGATTTTTAACGAACATCATTTGTGAATGACCCCAATGACATCCAACATTTGGTTGGGGGGGGGGGGGGGGGGTCTTTGTGAGATTTCAAAAAGAAATTTGTTCATTCAAAATGTGACAAGAAGGAGGGGTTTAAAAAATGTTTAATTCATATCATTTATGTACAGTCCCCTAGGTTAACAACAGTAAATTGGAATCGTCATCGTTTGAGCTCTAAACGCCTTTTAAAATGTCTTAAATCTTGTGAATATATCAATACTCTTCAGAACTATTAATATATCACAATAGAGCCAAGGGCGTGGAACTGATAAATTACATATTTATCATTTTATCAGTTCCACACTCTTAAATAGCGCATCTTTAATCATTTGAATCCAAATTGAAATAAAATCTAGAACATTCTAGTCCAAAAATCATTCAAAGCATTCCTCGAGTCACTCGACCAATCTAGGTCAATAAGTATTACACAATCCGCCGAGAATTTCAAACATCTTTATTCAAGAACATTAAGCAGACAGGTTCTGGCTGTATAATCATAAAAAAATAAACGTTTCTCACAGCGAGTCGAGTCAAGCGATTAACTCAAAGAATGAGATACGAAAAAAAAATGTCAACGAAAAAGCAGGAAAGAGATCATCAAATCAAAAAGAGAGTCTCAACAACTCAGCATAAAGTTTTTTTTTCTGTGTGCCGTACTCACCCAAAAGTAATCGTTGAAATCTACAGTCATATTGACCCTCGAGCTTAATTTAATCTTGTCTAATTTATATTATTTTTTTTTGTATGGAACTTTTATCACTTTTATTATAACTTTTTTTTTTCGTCCGGTTTTAATTCTTTTAATAGTCTCACTATTATCCTATAAATATTTTTTTATTCTGTTATCCTAGTTGAACAGTTTTTATGACTCCGCAAAGCCGACGCTAAACATCTGTGATAAGAAGCACAATTAAATGTTGTTATATGATAATACGCATCAAGCAATGTTTGCATTTGCTTGTGTAATATAAGAAGTGAGATAAGAAATAGAGGAAAACCAGAAGTTGTGAATATAATCAGCATCAATTATAAAAATTTCAGGCTATATCATTATTTATGCGGGCTTTTTTTTTGTGTGTGTCTGACGATAGATAAAAATTTTAAATAAAAAATAAGGCGAAACTCAAACATAAAAGAAGTTTCATTATCACATGAATGAGTGTCATTCATTTGCACATAGCTATGCTCTCTTTATTACTATCCGAAATGTTTTCATATCCTGTTCCTGTGTATATGATATATTAATAAAGTATTTTTGAGCAGCTATTAAGTGAGAAAATTGAGTTGTTGGGGAAGCTGCACTTTGGGTTTTGAGCTTAATTGAGATATTGACAGACTTTTGGATGCGAACTTGACATGAAATGTTTGCTGATAGGCTTATAAAGGAAAATGATTAGAATAGCCCGTTTATTAAAATCCATTCATAATTTGCCAAAAAAGTAAGATCCAGTAAACATCTAGACCGAATGTATTTGGACTAGCTATGCCAAATGGAATAAGATTCAGCGAACAATTTATTCAATTATAAAAAGATCATAAGATAATGGAATTTCTACAGTTCTTTTCTTGTTGATTCCCCCCCTCAACCCTGGACGTCATTAGTGAACGGCCCCTAAGCCCATGAGCATTTTTTCAAATCAAGTATTTTATAATTAGGACATAAGAAAAATAAAATTTACTTCCAGGATATTAGAGTTGGGCATCGAAAAGTATCCCCTAGAAGCAGTAGCATAGTTAAGAATTTGAATAGGTGGGGGGTGGGGGGGGGGGGGGGGGGTTGGCAAAATTCCTAAAATTTTCATGAATATCCCAGAAAAATCAAGAGATATCTGTTTTTGTCTGCCTTTCAAACGCCCCCCCCCCCCCCCCACACGCCTGTCTAGAAGTCACTTTAATATCAAACCATGGACCCCTGAACCCCCTTTCTATCACAATCCGATAAAGGAGGGGAGGGGGGATATTGAGATTTCATAACAACTCAAGCAAAGAAAATTTGTGACAAGCAAAGTGGGGGGTTTAAAACCCTTTTAATCAACTTCCAAGCCCCTTAACCTTTGTTAAGGGTTATTATTTGTTTCCATCTGCAGAATTCTTATTTGCTGAGTCACACCCAAGACAACAATAACTAGCAACAATAATATTTTAATCTGATTGGCATATCTCGAAGAAGAGCTTAGAAACACATAGAAACGAACAGCCACGGTGTCCATTAGCTAATTATAGATTTGGATCAATATTATGACATCCTTGGAAATTTCACAGCCTTGCACTTGAAGATGTGTTACAACATTTTCACATTTGGACATTTATTGGGCAATTTTAGATGTTATTTCACTTTAAACAGTAGATCTTGTCAAATGTCTATCCTAAAAGCTGTCCAAAAAGTGCGCTGTAGCCTCCCACATCTGCCAATTTTCACACATCACTTTAATTTTATTCATACATAAAACTTTCCGGTCTCAGTACTTTCCGCCAAAGTTCCAACAAAAGAGAAATCACACAATAAGAAAAAAATAATAATAATTATTCATTTATTAAAATCTTCGTTTGCCCTTTAATTCCATTTGTTTTGACACAATGAAAAATACGTCTCAGTTTCAGAGACATCTAATCGATTACAACAGCAATTATATACTAGAATGACTTTACTGTAAGTAGGTGGAAGTTTCAAAAAGAAATTGAATCGAATTAAAAAAAATAGAAATTTTTATGAATTCAATTTGATTAGGCTTGAGAAAATGGAAATTATGACACTATGTAGACAAAGGAGATTAACTTTATTATTGGACTATATTTATTGAATAATTGCACTTGATAATCAAATTCTTAGTAAAAGAACATGAAAAAAAGAAGTCATGTAAAGTTGTGGATGGAACATAAAAATCAATTTAATAGCTTTTGGAGCCAATTCAACACAAAGCTATCAATTCGCATTCAATTATCATTTAATTGTGTCTTCTTCATAAAATCTTTCACAAAGAATTTTTTTCATTAATTTCATATTCAATAATTTTTTTTATATTTTAAATGTTTTCACGATTTTCTTTTTTCGAATTTTTTTTGTTTTTTCAATTTTTTAACATTTCTTCTGGATTTCACTTCTTTATCTTATGCATTTCATATAATCCTGACAGTTTGTGGAGTTATAATGACAATTACATTTAAAAGACATCGCAAAAAGTTAAAAAACACTGAAATTCATGTAAAATATTAAAAATACTTTAAAAACTTAATATTCGATTTTTCGGAAACTGAATTTCAAAGGGGATGGGCAGTGGGTTTGAATTTGTTTGAGTCGTTAGTCGATTTTTAATGCTTTAAATTCGAATAATTCAATTTGAAGATGTTTGAGTGAATTATTTCCGTAAAAAATTTTGAAAATTTAACGGTTTTCAAAAATTTAAATTTGATCGTTAATTTTCAAATTCAAAACAATTCGACAGTTGCTCATAAAATTCAAAATAAATTTGACAGTTATTTGATAATTAAAACCCCATTAGAGCTGTTTTACGTATTAGCTATAATTAATGACGGATATGTAAGAAATTTTTATTGAATATTATTAATTTTGTTTCAGTTTTCCAAAAGATCATCAATTTGCGTCCTTAATTTTAATAACATTTCTTTATACTTGGCACTCTCGCCTCGAATCTTTTCCTTTTCAGCTTCGAATACTCGTTTTGGCATTTGGACATAAATTTCTCCGTTAAAAATGAATTCACTGTAGTTTTCAACAGGCGATGACTTCTTATAAGTCGCTGACTGTTCCTCAACTTCCTTTTGTTCGACATTTGTGCTCGATATGTTGCCTTCTTCAGTCAAAAAGAATGTCTCTTCTTCTTTCGGCTCGTCACTAACTGTAGGCTGGATATAATTCATGATTGTTTTTACAGGACTTTTAGGCTTTTTCTGTTTCACGACCATACATTTATAACTTCTCTTTGCTGGCGGTATAATCATTTCCTCATATATAATATCATGATTAGTTTCAGCAGTTCCATCAGAATCAATCATTTCGATTGTCTCTTCATTTGAAGTCATCGATTCATCAATTTTGATCTTGTGAGTATTCAATAATATGGCAGGTTGGGCAGTTATTTGATTATCATATGATTCACGGCTTGCAAATTGACTCTTTCGCTTCTTTTCCGATGTCTCACCAACAACTGTAAAGTCCAAATCAGGATTTGTAATCTCTTCATTCCATTTCTCTGGAATTGCTGTATGAACTAACATTTTTCGTCTCGATTGATTGCTGACATACTTTGAACTGAAGTGCCTGTCACATAAGTACCGATATTCATTCACATTTACGTCTCCTTTCAGCTCCAATCCTGCATTTTGAGCCCAAACTAAAAGTTTTAATCCAATTTAGGAAGTAAAATCTAAAAACTTGAATTGATCGCAAAATTTACCACAAAACCGTTCCTTATCCGACGGAAATCGAAAGAATGTACGTCCAGGAAGATTATCACATCCTTTATACAGACACATCTTGCGCGATTGTGCCATTTCTAATAAAATTTCACTTTTATTTTGTTTTGTCTTGACGCTTATTTGAACAATTTCGAAAATTCGAAATTTAAATTTCGAAAAAAGTTTGTTTTGTAAACAAAAAAGCAATAAAAGATAAAGTTCAATTAAAAATCATGGTTCGAAGGTGTTGTGTCGACAACTGTATTGAATCTGATCTTACAATATTAGCACATCGATTCCCAAAAGGAGAACAAATTGCTATTCAATGGCAAAACATATTAAATTTAAATAATATTGGATTAGAATCATTAAAACAGAATTATGTTGTCTGTACAAAGCATTTCAGCTCTAAAGCATACAGGAATGCAATCTCAAATAGCTTAAATTCGACAGCATTACCAAGTCTGGATGTTCATAAAGATAATGAAAGAATAAAATCGACAAGAATTAAGGATAAAAGTAAAAATGTTCCATTGAGATGCCACAAGTCACCAAACTCACTCAAAAGGCAGTCATCACTAGTTTACACAGTTCAAAGTATTGAAACATCACCAGCCAAGAGAGCAAAGATTGATTTGGAAGTTTTATCAATAGATCCAGAGGTAAAATTGGACGAAATTGAAGATCCAGTAGCATTATTAGATATAGAAGAGAAATTAGAACCAATACAAATTGAAGAGAGCTACATTGACTATGAGATTTATGACAGAAGTGAAGTCAACGAACAAATTATTCCTTTGCCTGATCAAGTATCGATAAGTGTCCAAACAGAAGCTTCACAAATTGACCAACAAATTCAGACAGAAACTGCACAAATTGACAAAAAGATTCAAACAGAAACAACTCAATCTGACCAACAAGTTCAAACAGACAAGATTGAGGAACCACTCAAGCAAGCTTCACCCACAATCGACTCAAAAGATGACAAATTAATCAACTTACTGTACCCAGAATTCAACGGAAAGAGCAAGATTGAGCTCATTAAAATGATCATTGAAAGAAACCAAAAAGTCAAGTCACTGGAAGAAGAGAAGCAAATGCTCGAGGAAGCAATGCGAAAGCTCTTATGAACACATACATAACATGTGATATTAAGCTATAAAAAAATTGTTTGTATGTTTTAGAAATAAAATACGTGAAGTACCTACTACAAGTGCATAGCTGCACACTTATACAGTCCGCATTTTGTTTATTTGTTTTTAATTCATTATTTTTGAACCAAAACAGCAGATCAGCCTCATTAATTAGTTATAAATTATAATTGAGACGAGATGGATCCATTAGGAATTACTGCTGCTGTCATGTTCTTTTTAGGGATGTTGACGGGTAAGCTATTTAGTGATTTAAGTGAAGGGCAATATAATTGAGAGTTGTTGTCTTTGTGGTTAGTCAAAATTTGGTCTAAACTTAGTAATCTGAACTAGGTTTGACTTTTGAGACCAGTTTCTTATGGAAAACTAAGAGCAAACCTTGAAGTAAGCAACTAAGGGCAGTTCTGGGCTAAATCGACTCAAGAACATCCCTAATAATAATAATAATCCTTTATTTAATTAATGATATACGTCGGAACAAACTGAATTTATCTTGATGTTAACCTCGTCGGTTTTAAATCAAACGTAAAAATGAAATGTGATTATTGATATGACATGAGTTAAGTTTGAACTATTGAGATGAGGTCAAAAAAAAATTAGCAAAAAGACCAAAAAAATAAATAGAACATCCCTAAACAAATTAATAATACCAAAATCTAAACTCAATCATTTCAGCTGCCGAATACTTTGGTTTCCAGTTCTTCCGTGCATTCTTTTAAAATAGCAACAGTAAAACATCAACAAATTTACAAAATATGCATCTATCTGTAGATTGACATTTATTATTCAATAACCCATAACATTATTATCGCAAGATTTACAAAATAATAACATCTGCAGTAGGTGATACTTAGTTTCAAACAAGAACAAGTACGGCTTGGAGATTAATGAAGTTTTATTATATTTGATTATACTTATAATATAGACATGGCTAATGTGACAAGATCAAACTTAATATCACTCGGATATCAACTTAATTAGTAAACGACCAAAGCTATTAAATCTTAAAAATCATCATAATTATAAACAGAATTAACAACCATCAGATCTATCAAATCAAAAGAATAATCTTCAACTCAAACCTTCTCCAAATCATGACTCATAAACCATTTTCGAATATTTCTTAAACTTAACGAACATTTTAAAAATTCAAAAATAAAGTTTTCGAACTCATTCGCAAGTTATCGTAACTTTTCGCATTGTTTTGATCTTGTTTGTTTAATAAAAGAACAAAATATTGAAAAATATCCAAATATATTCTTGCATTTTTAACTTAAATGTCAATCGTGATCGCATCAGTATGTCGTCAAAGAATCAATTAATAAAGAAAATATCAGATTATCTTGAAAATCGACAGAAAACAAATAATTTTGGTACATGTAAGAAATGTAAGTAGCTATTAAGGCTTCAATCCTTATCAATTTTTTTAAAAATCTACATTTTGTTTAGGCTCAAAAAATGTTTATTGGTCAACAACAAAGGTCGCGAGTCACATTCGGTCTGGACACTGTAAAGGAGCATCTGATGAGGAAGTGCAAAAATTTAAGGTGGGAAAATGTTTCTTCTTCGATGAATCCAAAGACCTTGAAATGCTTCTTATTTGTTGACAAAATCATGGCTAACGGTAAATCTTTAATTGCGTGACCTTAATTGAGGTGTTAAAGTCGTGAGATTTTGTTGGAAATGATGCAAATGGGTAGTTGAGGGGTTGGTTTCTTGATGTATACTTAATCTAGTGTTGGATACTAGAATATCACTACTCTTTTATCTAGAAACTAGCTTTACATCAACAAACCGACCCAATTCTAAGTTCTACAGCCACAATTAATCTATAACCCTTCTTTCTTATCACTTCCAGCAAGAATTCGTATACGAAACACCAAAGCATCTCATACACAGATCATGTGTTGGAAAAACGCCGAGAAGTGCTGATTCATTTAAATCCGAAAGAGATGAAAAGTCAGAAACTGTGGCAACAATAAAGAAGATCTATCTCAAGCAAGATTCAAAAGATTCTGTACAAGCTAAGCGCCAGAAATTGGAAATTGAAGAGGATTATGAATCAGAAAATATTATTGAGGAGAACAATGACTCAGAAATAATGTATGAATTAGAGACAGCAAATACAGACGATGAAAAAGTTGAGGAATTAATTTTTGTCACAAATGAGTCGACACACGACACTCCACCAAAAAAGTCAGAAGGATCAGAGCCAGCAAGCAAAGAGGAAAAGTTCATTTCAGCTGTTTATCCACAATTTAAAGGACGAACAAAATTGGATCTAATTGATGAGATTCATGATCTTCAGCGTCGCAATGAGCTTCTACAAGTTAAAGTTAAAACTTACGAGAATACAATTAATAAGTTATTATAAAGTTTTAATTAAATAAACGTTTAATATTCTGTTTTTAACGGCTGAAATAAGTAGGGTTCGTCCACATGCGCATGCATGCGCATACATGCGCAATTACTTTAAATATTTTAAAGTAAATTTTACAAAATTAATTTTTTTATTTAACTTTATTCCTTTTATCATATTTATCAAAAATTTCATAAAAAATATGATAAAAAAGTTGAAATTCGCTTAAAAACTGCTTAAAAAGAAAGGTTCCCACATCAAAACACCTCTAATTTGGCCACAAGATTTGGTGTCAAATCGATCAAAAGTGTCCAAATAATCATTATTGAGACATATTAAAACGAATCCAGCAAAAATTAGTAGTTTCAATTTTTTTTCTTAGATATACATGCGCATTTTACGTGTGCATGCATGCGCATGTCAATTTGGCGAACCCTAGAAATAAGTTTGAATCATCAACTGTCAGAATTATTTTGAATTTTCGAAGTTCAAAAATTCTTTTCAGGTTCAAAAAATTCAAATCTTAGAAAATCGTTTAATTCAATATTTAAAATAATCCAAAAAATTTATATTTTGGTCCAAATTGTCAAAGTTAAAGCATACGAAGTTCATCATAACGGTCACAAAAAATTCAAATGCGGCAAATAATTCGATAGACGCAATATTAAGATTCGCCCTAAAGTGTCGTGTCAGTTCTTCCAAATGAGAAGTAAATAAATTAAAAATATTCAGACATGGATGCACTTTATCACACAACAAATAAGACAATCCACGAGATACAGCAATGCTTTCAGTCGCTTAATAATCCCGGAATTGATAGTATAGCCGTAGAAAATGAAATCTTAACTAAAATCACTGCTGTTAATGCGTAAGTAGCTTGAATGCCTTATTATTAATGTAATTAACTGAATGACTATGAATATTCTAGGAATTGTGATCGACTGGATGTCTTGGTATTTAAAGTTCCAGCTGCGACACGTTCAGGTGCTAAAATGAAGGTTGATCAGCTTAAATATGACGTGCGGCACTTACAAGTAAGTGAAAGAAACATAAATATCGATTTTTGAGCTCACGTTTATGTACTTTTTAGACTGCATTAAGTTTATATCAGCAAAAGAGGCAACGACGTGAAGCGGAAGCAACTGAACGAGAGCAGTTATTAACTAGAAGATTTCAGCCAAATGCTGATACAACAATTGATTTAGATTATTCATTACAACACAACACTCAAATGCATAATGCACATAAAGGAGTTGATGAGATGATATCAACTGGAAGTAACATTATGGATAGTTTAAAGTTTCAACGTGATATGCTTAAAGGTGCACGAACTCGAATGGTTACAATTGGAAATACTTTAGGATTATCAGATCATACAATTAGGCTTATTGAAAGGCGTTTAACTGAAGATAAATATGTCATGCTAGCGGGAATGTTTGTGACTTTATGTATTATTGGATTGGTTATTTATCTATGTCTATAATAAAATTAAAATTATGCTTTAACTCACCTTTTTTGGACTTTGAACATATTCATCAAAATTCTTTTCTACAAATTGCTCATACATGCTGTTCGTTGGACTGCATTCGAGTCGTTCAACAGGTTGAAATTCATCCATGACTATTTGGCTATTTATTGTACTTTCACTTCACATTCACATTACAATTATAGCACTTTTAACACCACTTTTTAAAGCTTTATCAGCACAACAGCAAAATTACACTTGCTTTAATGAACGAGATAACAACGAATACGATCAATATCTAAATTTATCAGGTCCGATAAGCATTCAAGGCAGGATTTATGCTCGATTTTAACTTTCAACTTTAGATTTTGATTTTTACAATTTTTAACTTAATTTACCATTAATTTGTTACATAAATTGTACTTTTCTTCGTCAATATTATTATTTTCTCTTCTATCAGCTGTTCCTTAGTTATATTTCTTATAGAAATGTGTTAATTAAACAATCATTTTGTCCCAAAACTTTAATTTGATTATAAAACACGAATTATTGAATTATTTGAATTAGATCTTTACATGCTATGGTTAATATTAGTTGAAACTTTTAAACTAGATCACTTTTTGAAGATTAAATGCACTAGAATGTACTTAATTAAGATAAAAAATTTGCTTGTTGACAAAATATTTATATTTTTGGTACTAAACGTTGTACTAAACTCAAAAAGAATCGTTAAATCAGGGCTTGAAGCTATGAAAATAAATTCAAATTCAAAATAACCGTTACAAATTTGAAATTATTACAACCGCTATGAAATTTATTGAGCTGAAATAAGTTCTTGCCTAAATCTCAAGATTTCTTAAGTCAATAGTATAGGCTTTCCACCCACAAAGAACTGCGCTACATTCCTCAATGACTTATTAAACTCCCAGCAATATTTACAAAGTCTTTTCACGTGAATTTTGTTTTCATAAATACCGGTTCGTAGTGTCATTAATAATTTTGGTTTTTATTGAGCTACTAAGTGATTTTAAAGTACAAAATCTTCAAATTGTGTTCATAAGACAGTGCCATTACAATCAAGTGCAAAAAGAAGAAGAAAAAAGGTAATTTAATTAACTTCAATTTAGTTCCTCGTGTGGCTCCAAGAACCTGACAACACCTTTATCTGATGGAATATTGACTTCTTCCTTAACATTGATATTGCATGGAACTTGACATTTCTCATTCATATAACTTGGTTTCGGTTCCAATTGATCATGATAAAACTTCTTGACTTCATCCTCTTGTATAAACGGTTTTGGGATTCTCTCGCCACTTATTGGCTCAGAAACGGCTTCATTCGATTCATTATCATCGACTTTACTCAATCCTCTCATATAACGTTCCAGATCGTCCTCAATTGCCTGTCGTATGTCGGCTTTTAAGTTTCCTTCTCGTAAATTGTACATCCTTACATTCTGAATGATTTCTGGCGAAAAGAGCTCTGGATGTGCCTGCATATATCGATAAACATATAAATCAGCACTCGTAATAATAAATCTGTGTGCATAGATGTGAATTCTCGTTCCAATTGTAAAATCCTTGGCTGTATAATACTCTGGCTTATGAGGATTTGTATTTGGCTTGACAACCTTTCGAGACGAGAGGAATTTGCAACCAGCAATGCCTGTATTTGGTGCTGACAATTCAACAATATTTATATTGCCATCAGCTAAGTTATAGTTCATAATAAATTTTCGATCTTTAACTTCGGGATGAACGGAATCAAGGATGCATCCGTAACGAAGTTTTTTATTTGCATTCATTAAATATGCAATTTCATCCTTCTTTGGTGCTCTTGGGATCAAATTGTAGCATGAACTTAGAGAGTCTTCTGGCGTTCCGAGACCCAAGTAGTCAGGCATTTTCTAGAATGTAAAATAAATCATATTTTAACAGTTTTGTAAAATTCAAATTTCTAGCGGTTTTGTAGAATTCGAATTTTTCAACGGTTTTGTAGAATTCGAATTTTTCAACGGTTTTGTAGAATTTAAAATTTATCAACTGAATTCAAATATTTAACACTCGTTAAATTTTTCTTTAAAAATTGCAATAAATCAATAAACCATGTCAAGCTTACAATTTTAATTTCCGGTTGTATGGGCTTCTCAATTGCCAACTTATTCGGCTGTGGACATCTCAAAATTTTATCAAAATATTCTCGAGTGAATTTATCAGCATCCATAAGTAAAAACTTTCGTCCAAATACAAAAATTGTACCTCCAACCATAAAGTCCCTCAACGTATAAAACTCATCAATTTCAGCAGCTGTGCTATCGAACACAATTGATGCGAAGTCAGCAGGTTTCTTGCGCCAATTCTTTGGCAATTTTGTTCGCTTTAAAAGTAATGCAAATCCATCTCGACCTTGCTGATTCTCAGGCAATTCCTTAATCGCAATTGTATCATCCTCAAGATAATAATATAATTTAAATGTTATCAGTTCGCCACCTGCTCGTTCCGTTTCATCCAAGACACAGTCGAAGCTTGATTTTGAGGAAGAGGAATTGAAATTGAGATGACAAAAGCTTGTTTTTTAAATCACAAGAGATGTTGCTTACCTTAAAACCATTCCAAAATATTCCAAAAATCTTCTTAACTTGTCATCCTTTTGGTTCTTTTGACGATTTGTTTGCGTGTGTTGGGCTTGTTGAATCATTCTGGGAAATAAAATTTAACGGATTTTTAAAATTCAAATTTTGTAAGTTTATGTAACGACTTTTAAGAATTCAATAATTAGGTCAGTTTGTAACGACTTTCAGGAGTTCAAAAATTATGTCAATTTGTAACGACTTTCTTGAATTTTAATTTTATAACAGTTCAAAAAGGATCCAAAAGTTTCAAATTACAGCCAAGCTGAGCATCCCATAAATAAATGAAAAAATTCAAAAATAATACTCAATATCACTCAATCTCAATATTGTCACACAAAACATTACGTCTAAAGCTCTTAAATCATATCACATTCAGATAGACTCAAATATTTACTTTTCAATAGTAATCGGATCTTTTGGCATGCATTCTCTTTCCTTCACTTCAACGCCATTAGCTGTTAAAAATTCTCTCGTGTATGTATCACAATCAGCCGTATGATACACGATGCCGCCTAATTCAATATCAATACCAACATTAAAATCTTTCCATGTATAAAAAATTCCAGATGATGGATTTTTAGCAATTTTGCTGCGTCTCAACAGCCTACCCTGTGGAAATAAGCCACAATTCTATAAAAGAGATACAAAAATTAGTTTTCCGATGCATTTATCCAATTTCATTCCTACCTTAACAAATGGCTCATACACCTCGAGCGTATCATCCTCTAAATAGTAATAGATATTGACATATCGTATTCGATACTGCTCGATACGCGATTCTGGCACGTGTTGTCGAAAATATCCCATGAATTTAAGTACCTTTTTGTCATAAATCACATAATGAGGCCTAAATGGCTCAACTTGTTGCTTCTTAATACGACCGTATGTCAAGGCTGGATCAAATCTACAAAAAAAATATTGATAAGTGCTTTTTATGTGTTTCTATAGAGATCCTTTATGCTAGTCTGATTTTTTACGCACAAACAAAAAATTAGTTGTGGAGAATTGCAATGTTGGGAATTGCTGGAGCGCATTAGGGTTATTGTAATGATTTGACGGGTGTCAAGCAGTTAAGTGCCTTGCTGGTCAAATAGGTAAGGCGCTTGGCTCAAATTTGGTATGTTAACTCGAAGGTCGTCGGTTCGAATCCAGCCATTTCCAAATTAGTTCTTTTTCAGAAGATTAGATACTTCGACTGCTTAATGTACGAGATCAAGCCATAATTGGACATTTGGGCAACGTTGGATTAAGGAACGGATCAGGAACTTGAAGTGTAGCGGGAGAAATAGGAATGAGAGCTACAAGATTACCTTATAATGGAATATTGTCAGAACGGACCTGAAATGTATCACGTCACGCCCACAGAAGATTGAAACGAGAGCCTGAATTTAATCGAAACCTAGATTTGAAGATTAGAAGCTTGATTCTACGTCACCTATAGTGATATGAAATGTATCACTAATCAATGTAAAATGTAAACATGTATAAATACTAATTCTTCCGGACGGTAACATCGACAAATAAATAATAATAATAATAATCCTATAGGGTTGGTAATGATATGTCTTTGTGGGAGACTAAGATTGTGTGGCACTTCTTTAAATTGTGGTATGTAATGTGCACCCCAAGTGCAGTGATGGTCAACCCGTGTGCTGTGAAAACATTCAAGATATCCCACGAACCGTATTAGGGGCCGTTCACTTATTACGTTCGTATTTTAGGGGGGAGGGGGGGTTTGAAAAATTGCAACAAAATGTAACATAAGGGGGGGGGGGGGGTGTCAAGAAATATGCAACGTTCTAACTGTAGTCTGTCTTTCAAAAAAAAGTTCACGAAAAAAATTTTTTTGAACGTTCAGGGGGGGTTGTGAGTTGTAACATATTGTAACAAGGGGGGGAGGGGGGGTGAAAAAAGTAGTTTTTTTGCGTAACGTAATAAGTGAACGGCCCCTTATGTGTTCGGTTTAAATCATGGCTTACCACCAAATGTGCCGTGGCACAATAAAGGTTGTACACCACTATACATACAGAGTGCTATACATATAGAGTATATAATACGAAAATATGGGGTATATTGCTAAGATACTGATATTTTGGGTTTTTTTACAATCCTGTGACTTCATATTCGTACAGGGTCCCAAAAATCTTGATCCTATGCTTTAAAATGGTAGTTATCGTGACCAGGGTTGTCATATAGGTACCTTTGAAAAGGTGCCTCAACGGAGCATGGTAGCTTTTGCCTTTGTCTAGTCAACACCTAGGTATAGGCAAGCCTAGCTAAAGGCAAAAAAGTGAGTCTAGTCAAAGGTTGACTGCCTAGCCACAGGCACTACCTAGAAATAGGTGTGCCTAGCCAAAGGCAAAAAAGTGTGCCTAGTCAAAGGCAATAACTAGCTAAAGGCACTGCTTTTGTAAGATTAAATCTTCTATAGAAATTGCCTTTTACCTTTAGTCTTACTCGTTGAGTTTTTGAACAATAATGCAAAATTTCTTTTGTTTGAACCATTGAAAAACTACAGACCCCCTCCAAATGACTGAAACGCCGAATTTTGATTTATCCAAGGCGACAAAATTTTTGATAACGACAAATTAAATTTTCGACGTAGCAAATTATTGGTTTAAAAGAAGGTATGATTCACTATTATGCTCAAATAAATTCAAATTAAGGAAAAAAGTTGTTTTAAATTTAAAAAAAAAACTCAACGAGTAAGATTAAAGGTAAAAGGCAATTTCTATAGTAGATTGAAACTTACAAAGGCAGTGCCTATGGCTAGGTATTGCCTTTGGCTAGGTATTGCTTTTGACTAGGCACACTTTTTTGCCTTTGGCTAGGCACACCTATTTCTAGGTAATGCCTTTGCCTAGGTATTGCCTTTGACTAGGCATGTCTAGGCAAAGGCAAAAATTTCTGCCTATAGAAAGGTAATGCCTGGGATAGATTTTTGCCTTTGATAGGAATTCGATAGGTGACAACTCTGATCGTGACTATAGCTTGGGGATGAGCTTTAATCAAGGCTATACTCTTAGAACCTCTATTCTTAAGATACCTGACAATGAAATTCAACCCTCAAATGCTCCATCAAAGTATCTTAAAACAAATAAATATCCATCTAATGCTTAACAGCTCGCATAACAATCAGACAAACAGACAATAAAGACAATCCGTCCCAAGATAAAATACAGCCCAAAAAAAGCATATTTTAAACAAACAACATACTCAATGGGTTCCGAATAGAAATCCTTATATGTCTCTTGAACAGGCTCCTTTCCAATTCCAACAGTTGGAGTCCGATCCATTCGATATCCATTTTGATAATAAAAGCAATGTGATACATGATGATTCTTCTTCAAACGCTCATCGAATGACAATCCAGGCAGGCTAGGTAATCGATGACAATTCATTATAAATTTTTCTTTTTTCCTTCTTATTGCTTGTAATGCGATTCAATGTCAAAATCGACGTAAAACGAAGAATTTCTATTTTCTACTCAGTTGCACACTTGTTACTTAAATGTCTTTCTAGCAGAAAATTGATTTTTTTTATGCCTGAATTTTGTACACGTTTATTTCTCAAGATGCTGTCAAAGAATGTGTATTAATACACGAAATAAAACAAAACAAAATAGCTGGTTACTATGATAAATAAAATAATTGCAACCTTGACAACGTTCAATGAAATGAAGAAGGATGTTTATTGATTCTTCTAATGCCAGTTAACGTCAGTTCCATCTACGTTTAATTCTAGACGAATAAATATGTTTATTTTGATGTTGTTATTTTTATATGCAACTTTTGGAGATAAAATGGGTTTATGGACTTATTATGGCTGGAAGATTGGGGGGATCTGAAGGTATCAGTGAAGATAATTAAATCTTGAAATTAACTTTCGTTGCTGTTTTATTGGGAATTTCGGATGGAATAGAATTAATTCGAAATTAAATTGAATTTGAGGAGCAGCTAGGCTTTAATTGGATATTGTTTTATAGTAATTTTCATTTTCAACTTAAACGTGACATGATTTATTAAGGAACTGGCTATAAAATATCCTAAGTCTATCAAAATTGAAATTTTTAAAATCATGCTTCCACAAAAGATGGACATCATTTATAAACCAGCTCTTTAGGGTAAAGCTAGATTCATGGCAGGGGCGTAGCCAAAAAAATTTCGTAAGGTGGGTCCAAATTTTTATTCGATGCTTCAAGCTTAATTTTGTTCTTTTTTATTAATTCTAATAAACATTTAATGATTAAATTATAAAATTGATTTTCGGACCCCCCGCTCCCCTGATTCTAGGGGTAAACGATTAGCCAACAACTTTTTGAGAGGGGGGGGGGGGGGGGGGTCTTAATTTTTTTTGTGCAAAAAAAATATTTATTTTGAAATTTAATCTTGCAAACAGTGTTGCATTCTGGCCATTTGTCTGGATCAGATAAATTCTGAGACAGAAATTTCTTCATAAAAACGATTCTACATGTAGAAAGAAAAAAACCATCTACATGTAGATTGTGTCTACATGTAGAATCTGTCTACATGTAGATTTAATGTAGATGTCTACGATTCTACATTCTTCTCTGATGTAGACCTGGAAAAAATGTAGAATTATAGACATCTACATCGAATCTACATGTAGACAGATTCTACATGTAGACACAATCTACATGTAGATGGTTTTTTTCTTTCTACATGAAGAATCGATCTTTATGAAGAAAGTTTCTTAGCTAGACAAAAACTATTGAAGAATCTACATTCTTCATCTAGTGTAGACATCTACATTTGCAACACTGCTTGCAAATTAAAGAAATTTTTCCAAAATTCAGAGGGGGGGGGGGGGAGAAGAGGTTTGCTTCATACCTCAATAAATCCTCCAGTCTAGGTTTAATAACTTGAGAAATAGAAGCTGAAAGAGGGTGTGACTCAGTTCAAAATTAAATTTCTCCAGAAATTGCTCTGGATGGGTATGATTCAGGAGGGGTCTATACAAGTTGAAAACAACTTCATGGAAAAAAGATTGTTGAAGAATTCTTGCCACTTTTCCACTATGACGTGAATTTGGTTAGGAATTGATGGAAAATTTCTCAATTTTTGTTACGAATTTAATAGAAAATTCTCATTAAAACTTTCTCCCATCATGTTGTTTTCCCCTTAGATATTTTTCATAATTTAAAACCAGGGGTGGATCTATAATTTTTGCAAAAAAAACAAAATTCAATTTTTATTGCCCCTCTTGACTTCATCTTTAGCCTTAACTCCATTTCTCAAGCTTAAGTCCCCTTTTGCTTCATATTATCATCCGGCTCTCAATCCTCAACACCTCTTCAATTTAAAATTAAATCTCAATAGTAGTCATAGAAATGACATTCTTCTCACTTGAACCTCTTCAATTCTCATTGAGAACAAAGGATTCATTTCAAGTTGTCAATCGAAAAATGCGTTGTCACGACACTCAGCCACACAAACTTTTATTTAACAATTCTTCTTGTTTTTCCTTTATGCTTGAGTATAAATGCATGAATGCTCATTTTTCATTTTCACAGACTGAAATATTAATTGGAAAAGTTTAATCATGTATACTCGAACGAATATGCTATGGACACACCGAAGAAATTTTTGCAGAATGCTGGACATGCGGCAACTTAGGTATGTATGGTTTACAGTTTTTAAGGATTGTTTTTAGCAGAATTATTATTTGCTGGGGGGTCTTTGGTTTGAATAGTTGATTTGTTTTAATTCCTTTTGATTTTTTTTTAAAAAATATCATTACATGACGCTAATTGTACTTGTTATGATCATTATTCACGTCTGTTACATGTGAATACACTTGAATTAGTTTAAGTTATCAAGAATTTAATTATGTTCTAAGAAATGCAGTCACAGCTTGTTCTGACTTTATAACATTTCCTGAGAAATACTTAAAATTAAAAAGAGTATAAAAACCAGCTTGATTTTACATTTATCATGTCATTTTTTCTATTATCATTCAACAATAGTACAGTGAATAGATAAAGTTATCGGTAAAATCGTTTCAATAAAATCTTGAACTTATCTCAATTTATAAACTTATCAGATTTATTTATATAAACTGTAATAAAATACTTAATAACATAACACTTTCACCTATAATATTCAATCCAAACCAGAATCATGTTCTGGGGGTCCTTGGTTTGAATTATCAACTTTTTGAAGAAACTACTATTTTAGACATTTATAAATGACTAAGTGACGCCTCAAGCCTCAATTCTAGCACTTTAAATCCAAATCTTCAAAAAATAACAAATTATTCAAACCGAGGACCCCCTCAATACATGCATTTCATTCACAACTAATTGCCACAATATGTGCAACTTTAATAATCCCCATATAGTTCGATGCTTGATATAAAGCCAGAAGTTCATGATGCAATAATTAACAAACGAGCTGTTGTTGCATTAGAATCGACAATTATAACTCATGGAATGCCATATCCACATAATCTAAAAACAGCTATGGAGGTTGAGGATATCGTAAGAGAACAGGTAAAGGCATTAGTTTAGTTTCAACATCTGATACATATGACATGCTATTAATAAATGACATTGCATAAGCTTTTTGCATAAACGTGAACATGGCTTTGATTAAAAAAAAAAATATCTGATAAAATTTCAATTTGATTTAAATTATATCGTTGTATCTTTGTGTGATTATTTTGAGTCTATTGGTGGTGACATAAATGCATTTATGCAGTAATTTTGCCGCTGGATGTTATCTAGATTTGATGATGCGGAATTTATGCAAGTTTTGCTTGTAATTTTGCCATTTTGATCAACTAGAACATCTGATTGTCTATCAAATAGCAAGTATTCAGTTCATGTTCTAGTTTAATAAGTCATAATTCATTAGAATATTTAAAAACACAATTTTGCAGAAAATAAAACAAGCTTTTGGCATCGGACTGTAGTTGTTTAGCCATTGCCAACTTTTAAAACATTGTTACTGCATAAAATGTCTAGGATTTCCTTTTTAAGTAGTAAAATTTTTAATTTTAATTATTGAAGTGGGGTTTTTTTTTTCAAAATGGCGGCAAACATATTTTTTGAATTATAGTGAAATTAAACAATTTTTTAAAGCTTTTTGATGCTTAACTGATTATTGCTGACTTTTTAAATGCATTTAATCGAAAAATATCAAAGATCTTAGTTCCTTAATTACAAATTATACATTTTAAAGTTCTGAGGTGAGGATTATTTTACAAAATGGTGGCAAATGTTGAATTTAATATAAAAATCGGTTAAAATGCGTTCCAGATCAACATAACCTTAATAAATCGCCAACAATTTCTAATTCTTAAATCCCCTATAGAACATTTCTCAATCAAATTTGTGACACCGCCAAAGCTTGCATCTCATTCGCATATGTTGCAAGGTTAACATTTATATGAGAAAATTTATAAGCGAATTTAAATGATGAATGATATTCGTTTGCACGAATCCATCCAAATTATATACATACATTCATTTTCCTGTATGTAAAATACTTTTCAGCGAGCAATATTTCCGCTTTTTAATTTAGGAGAAGAAAGGAGGAAATACTGGAAAATGCGCGAATGTGAAATTGAAAAGCAATCTCATGAAAATTTATTGCATTTTATTCTCAACTGTGTACATCATGCAGCAATCATATAAACGATGGAAATGGAATTGAGAAGTGGAAAATTAACTACAATACAAAATAATCATCGAAAAGTTAATTAGCGTTTTTTTCTTGTTGTCAAGGCACTGCATGTTATTGACAGTTGCAATGAACTTGAATGCTTATTGATTTTTTTGTGCATTTTGTTAAAAAGGGAGTTGCTTGATGCTTTAAAGTTGTTGGTCTGGAATGTGGATTGGTTTCTTGGACAGGGTTAATTGATAGTTTCAAAAAACTGTACATTTTTGAATTTTCAAAAGCTCCAAAAAATTAGAAATTTCAAAAAACATTTAAAAAATTTGAATTTTAAAAAATTGATTGAATTTTTTGATTAGAAAAATGCGCTCCAGCATCTCCTCATTAAACAACACTAGCGACTTTTACAATTTTTATTCAATTCCAAAAAAAATACTGTCTCCCGTCTCTCCAGCTCAGACATTTTACAGCATGGAGAAAAGCACATCAGCATCTGATATTTTCCCATGAATAAGCTTTTCTCCTGCAAACAAAATCATGAAAATTTCAACTCTTTACATTGGTTTTTTTTAAATATACATAAAATGATTCTTCGTTTCATTGTTCAAATAAAAAATTCAAATCTAACTTCCATTTCCATTTTTAAAAAATGAACAATTGATAGCATTTTCATGAGGAAGTAATGACTAGATGTAGATGGATGAAAAGTTTATTTTTTATTTGCAATTTTCCTACATTTAATCGTCTGTAAAATGCAATTATATTAGAATTGTTTAATTTAACGAAAAAGATTTCTGTTCAAATATTAATTTCATTATGTTCATGGAGAATCACTTAGTTTTTTGGAAGAAACTTTATTAATATTGATTTAAATTGAACGAATGTGATTTTTTAATTTTTTTTGAAGATTGTGAGCTTCATTTCCAGTTCGTATGGTTCAAATAAGGTTTTGCAATAATTCCATTCTGCCACTGAGCAACTTCAGCTCAAATCAATAATATCCGCATAAAAATCCTAAAAACCTTAAACTCATTTCCACTAAATATTCATCACAATATTAAGAATTAATTAACACCGATCATGTCAATTTCTATTCGCGTAATACTAAAGTAGCCTTGCTCATTGCCTTAATATTTCTAATTAATGAATTATTATTCAATCCGCATTATGTTAATGATTTTTTCACCCTCACAAAAAAATTGTAGGGCGCAATACCAGCAACAATAGCCATTCTCAAAGGCCAAATTAAAATTGGATTGTCGCGAAATGAATTGGAAGAACTTGCCGATCCAAAGACAAATGTAATTAAGACATCTCGCCGTGATTTAGCGTACGTGTTAAGTCGTAAAATGAATGGAGGAACGACGGTCGCTGGAACTCTCATTTGTGCTGATTTATGTGGAATAAAATTATTTGCGACCGGAGGAATTGGTGGAGTTCATCGTAATGGTGAAAATACGTTAGATATTTCCGCTGATTTAATGGAAATGGGTAAAAGTTCCGTAACAGTTGTGTCGAGTGGCATAAAGTCTATCCTTGACATACCGAGAACGATGGAATATCTTGAGACGCAGGGCGTTTGTGTGACGACTTTTCAATGTCCTGATAAAGAATTTCCTGCTTTTTATACGAGAACTAGTGGAGTAAAAGCACAATATAATTTCAATGATGCTACTGATGCTGCTTTGTGCATAAATAAATCGATTCAATTGGGATTAAATTCTTCGATTCTCATTGGAAATCCAGTGCCAAATGATTTTGCTATGGACGGTAGAAAATGCTTACATCTGCAGCATTTAATCTGTAAATTTATTTATTTTTCTCTTTTCACACAATCTGTAGAAATTATCATTAATAATGCTATAGAAAAGGCATTGAGAGAAGCCGATGAGAATGGCGTTAAAGGAAAAGAAGTGACACCATATCTGTTAGCTGCAATTGCAAAGATAACAAGCGGAAAGAGTCTAGAAACTAGTATGTAGCTATGAAAAATTATATTTTTAAACACGTGGTATTTATTGAGAGTTTTTGTTGAAAACTTTTGTTTTATTGGGGTTTAGAGCTTAAATGTATTAGCAAATGGCTTTTGTCAACTTTTTAACTCATATAAGCTTCATTATTTTGATATGAATTTGTTGTAGCTTGAAATATTTGAAAAATACTTTTCGAAGTGAGAAAAAAATTATTGCTGAAAATTTCAAATTTTAAATAACCATTGAAATTATTATCAATGCTAATTTATCAAGAAAAATGAATCATAGCAATCTCATTCCCACCATGACAGTTTATTATAAATTCACTTAGCATTTTTTCCCATTTGCAAGACACTCTTAACCATTTTCTCTTCTCATTCCGTTCCTCTATTGTCACAGATATAGCATTAATCAAAGAAAATGCAAGAGTTGCTGCACAAATTGCAGTGGAATTAGAAAAATTGCAATATAATGGAGAAGATAGACAAGAAGAGATGAAAATCACAAGAAATAAGGCAAAGCAAGCATCAAGCAATACACCGCTCGTTGTTGGTGGAAGTATACTAGATATTCACTATCACGTTAATGAAGAGAACTTAAAGGTAAGTAAAAAACTACTGTAGTATTAAAGCAATCGGTTTAAGGGAGAGTAATATACCACAGAAGAGACATAGCGGTCGGTGATGTTGTAACAAAGTTCCAAGAATACACATTTTAATTAACTTTTTTCTCCTTTTGTTTTTCTTTGCTATTCATTGGTGTGCTGTTATAATATTTCTTATCAAATTGCCCTTCCTCGCTGACAATATTGTAGACTTTTTTTGTTGTTATAATTTTTTATGGGATAGAGGAACTTTTGACATCACAAAATGCCAAATTTATAAAGTTTTATGTCCTTTTATGGTTAATTAATTTTCATGTGCTGAAACTGATCGTTAAAACTATGTCGTTGCTCTTTCTTACTGATTTTTGTAATGTCAAATGAAGTAGGAAGAAAAATTTGTTGAAAAAAGTAGAATTTGGGGATTAATTTTAATTTGAAGGTTAAAAATTAGGTTAAGTTCATTTTATAAAGAGCTGTAAAGTATTTTATCAAAAAAATGCGCAATTCTGTATAAACTAAATAAGGATCAACTTTTTAGGATTCGAACATATGATTATTTTATCATTTTTGTAATATTTTACTTATAACTTCTGGATACACTTTGACAAAATACTTTGATAAACACTAACATATAATCCGAACCATACTCCCAAAAACCAATCACATCGGTGCTTACTACATCCCCTATTCCACACAAAAACAGCCTTTACGAGTAAAGTGCAAATAATAAAAAAATCCCACAAAGAAGATTCATGTTACAACTGGCTAAATGTTTTTGTATGAAATATAAATCAGCATTCCTTTGTTCTTCTGTTAGTTTCCAAATACCCACAAAAAAAAACTTATGGGGTCGTTCACTTATGACGTCTAGCATTTGGGTGATAGATACAAATGGGTTCTGGTATTTCTGGTATACTATGGCACCTCAAATTATTATGCAACAAAGTTGCTGCATAAAGATGGGGGGGGGGGGGGGTGAATTAAATTTTTTCAAACCTTATTTATAAACAGCCCTCCATTTATGAATCTCTGCATTGTATTTAATGCGATTTTGTTATTATTTTTCATACTTTTTCAGTCGAGTTGAGGATGATGAAAAAAATAAACTTTTCCATTTTTCGCCACATTTTTTTTAAATAAAAGCTTTTGTTATGAAATAGTTTTCCTCCTTTTTTCTCCATATTAATTCTGATGATGAAGCTGTTTGCGGAATGAGACTCGAAAACCGAGGGTAATTAATTTTTATTAAAATTCTTTTTTTTTCGATGCTTGTAAGTTCATTTTATAAAGAATTCTGTGCTTCTATTGCTTTTGTTGTGTTAAATAATAGAACAACACATTTTTATGCAGGAATATGGTGCTGATAGTTTGTGGTGATGAGTCAATGGCTGTACTTTGTAATTAAAAGTTTTGAAAAGTTTACACAGCTTTGTACAATTATCTCGCAATTAATTGAATCTCGATTATATGCTGTTAGGTAATTTATTACATTTACAATCTAGAAATGCAATCAGAAGCTTGTAAATGGATCAATTTAACATTGGATTTTGTAGTATCAGTTATCAGAAAATGACCACACATGTATTGAAATTGCTAGTTGATTGAATGGACTGATGATAAGCATTATGTTGTTGTTAGTTGTTAAATTTGATAGTTTATTCAGGTTATGGATTGAAAGGGGTTGAAAAGCTTGATTATTGTATGGTTGAATCTATTTGTTATTTTAGGTTATGCTTAGTTTAAGCTTTAAGTTTGAGTTTATAAGCATAGAGTTGAAATTACTTCAAATGAGACTTTAAAAAATTAATATTCCTATCTTACTAAGAGAACCGTTATGCCACTATAAACTGTAGGTCTAAAGGGTGTAGTACAATATATTCTTTACGAATTGAATCGCAGTGCCTCCAGCAGAAAGGCTGGGCTCTTCCACATTATTATTATAAGAGAACCGTTTAAAAGGCTATGATTGAGTCAGTCTTAGTCCATATAGCAGTGTTGTACAAACTTTTTGGAGCCACGGCACACTTTGACATTAGAAAATCTTTTAGGGATCACCTTTAAATACCGTGGCAACTTCCAGCTTCAGCCTTAGTCCCGATTTTTGCAAACACGGTGTCAAATTTCGAATTCTGTAGGCCAAATAGAAAAACCAACAATTTTTACAAATTTATTGGGAAACTAGAAAGGTTATATTTGTCACAAATGTATTTTTCTTACCTTAACTCCGCTCTTGAGTAGAGGGAACCTAAAGTAAAACTAACCTACACATTTACTACCTTTCAAATATATTAAACCCAATTTTGATGGATAAATACAATTTTGACAGCTAAAACAATATGAGATTCGAAGCTAGACTTCTGCAATAATTCATAAAAATTCAAATAATTTCACAATTCATGCCATTTCTATCTCAATTATTCTTAATCATATGAGTGTCCAAATAAATTGTCTAACATAAT